TGGGAGACGCGCAGCAAAGCCGCAGAGCATGCGGGCAGTGGGACAGTCCAGGCGCGCCGCGCTGTCCCACTACTGGTGTGCTCCGAGGCTTTGCTCCCCATCTCCCTGGTCTGCTGGTCAGACCAGGGAGATGGGGAGCAAAGCCGCGGAGCACGCCCGCAGGGGGACAGCTCAAGCGCGCCCGGGCTGTCCCACTGCGGGCGTGCTCCAAGGCTTTGCTCCCCGTCTCCCTGCAGACCAGGGAGACGGGGAGCAGCTTTTCTCGCCACGGAGGACGGGGGCGGTGGACCGCGGCGCATCTGGGCGTCCCGCCGCTCCCGTCCTCCGGGGCGAGAAAAGCCCTGTTCGTAACTACGGATCCGACATAAGTCGGATCTGCGTAACTCGGGGACTGCCTGTACATAAAGAATTTCTTTTTGGTTTTGACATTTTTGGACATTTGCTCTTCGAAATCAGTTTGGCCTTCGGATTTCCCTATATTTATCTGCTGTAACTTATGCTTTTTTATGGGCCAGTGGTCAGATGTCCAAAGTCTGAAGGATTTCTGTTTAGCTCAAGTGGCTTTTCAGGCTTTGCCATTTTCCATTGGTTCCCACTGTGTTCTGCAGTGCACAGGCCTTCTGAGATTAAGCAGCATTCATGCCACCTTTAAGGATTTTACTGGCAACTTTGAGGCCCTTTTGACTAACCATTATTTAATTCTCTCTAAAGTTTAATGTCAGAATGTTATGTTTTAGTATCTTATTTCTTTATTCTGCACAGGGTGCAGTTACTATTTAATAGCTATTTCTACTTTTTTAATAAAATCTTGTTCGTCACTAAGACTCAATCAACAAGACTCCTCTTGTATGCTCTAGAATTAACTTCCAAAATGCAATCCCTTAAATTATGAAATTTTCTCTTAATGTTGTGTCAGTGTGCAAATTGATCAGTTAGATGTAGTCAATCACATATTTAATAGAATTCTTCCACTGTGTAAACAAAATAATTGGATGAAAGAAAACAGGAGGACATAATTTTAATTTAGATTTTTTTTAAGTTTCTTACAAGAGGCTCTTAAGGAAACCAAATAGATTTGAGCTAATAAAAGTACCACCATCATGGATTAGGAAATAGCAGATATATGGCGGGGGGACAAATACACATGACCCTCCATACTCCCAGTGTCTCTAATCTGGATAAGCTACCAACCCTGGCAGGTGGAAGAGTAAGTGGCTCTGCATGCTGCTGTCTCTCTTCTCTCCGAGCTGGGGAAAGGGTGGTGCAGCAATGTGCTTCTCCTTAGGATTTTCCCCACCGCATCCATAGTGGTGGGGGAGCACAGAGCCATGTGTGGCCCTGGGAGTAGAGCACCAGGTAAGTGCCTCACCATTATCCCTGTTGCCTGAACTAAAATTGCTTATGAATTTCCAGTTACCACCTTTAGAATTGACAGGTCCCTGGATCAGGTCCACTATTCAATGATTCTGTGGTTGGGAACCCTGATTTGCACAGGTGCAACACTTGCACTATATGAACGCTTGTATATTTGTGAATATAGTTTATTAATACATTTAGCACAGTCACAAACACCCCAATTTCTTAAGATAAATAGGGAATGTACATCTATATTTCCCTACCATATAATCTCATCATTCTTTCTAGAACAACTCAAGGTGTTAGCCATCATCTTCCTCATCACCTGCACCTTCCCCGTCCTCACCAGTGACCATCATTCTAGCACCTGCCAAGCTCCTCCTACCACCCTGAGTCTGCAATGCCACTTTTATCATATGTTACGCTGACGTTATGTTTGATGCATATTCAGTAGGGGATGTTTCCTTTCCCCTTATTTGTATTGCCTCACTTTGCTAATGGCTTAGTGTCTTTTTCCAGTAGGTCAGTATATCATTGATCTCAACTTATCATATACAGGCAGTCCCCGGGTTACGTACAAGATAGGGACTGTAGGTTTGTTCTTAAGTTGAATCTGTATGTAAGTCGGAACTGGCGTCCAGATTCAGCCGCTGCTGAAACTGACCAGCGCCCTTATTTGTATTGCCTCACTTTGCTAATGGCTTAGTGTCTTTTTCCAGTAGGTCAGTATATCATTGATCTCAACTTATCATATACAGGCAGTCCCCGGGTTACGTACAAGATAGGGACTGTAGGTTTGTTCTTAAGTTGAATCTGTATGTAAGTCGGAACTGGCGTCCAGATTCAGCCGCTGCTGAAACTGACCAGCGGCTGACTACAGGAAGCCTGA